AGCAAAAATAGCAATTTTCAAGCTCTTTTGGAAGTATCTTATTGTCAAGAAATGTTTCTTTTTATGGACGATTTGCTTACATCAAACTTCCCTTTATTTAATGCGAGTCGGAGCTAGTTGACTTCTTGGAGGGTTGCTCCTGATATCGACGATCCTTTTGCCATGGATTACGCTATATTTGAAACAGACTAGAGGTAATGACTAGCCTCGAATATCGAACATTTCCGACATTGCTAGAAGTAGACAAACAGTTTTTGAATTATTTTTATGCTAGAAGTACAGCTTAATCTCTACTGAATATGTTTCGAGTCGGAGCTAGGGAATACTCTGACTCGTATTTGTTGTATTTTGGATTTTTGTGGAAATCCCATACATTTCCTTACACGATTTTGCCGCCATTAACTTCTCAATACGCACGCGCGTCCGGCATTTTGACCCAAATTTCTGGCAATGAGAAACATTTGTAAAGACTCCAATGGACTTGTGATTAATACAAATCACAAATAATACTTCCAAATTCAGTTGCAAATGCATTGTACGGAAACAGTTTGGACTGACTTGGTGATATCAGATACAAAAGACATGATTATCATTAACGTACATAGAAGTGATAAGTTTTTAATGGACATAATTCTAAAACTAAGAGCTATTTTATGACTCATTATTTTGGAGCTTGCCTATCCAAGGATTAAATTTGGGCTTCACAGAGTCAGTAAATACACAAGTGTTGCAAGAGAGGATTGAATTTCAAGAATAATTTATTTCACATGGTAAAGAATACGAAATGTAAGGTTTTTTGCAATAAGTAAATGCAGTGCAGTTAGCATTCCTTAACTACCATGTAGTATAAAGTGTTGTAGACGACTGTTGCAAGTACTCTATCATTAATTAATTTTTACAGAAAATGAACATCTAGTAGTATGAAATAGCTGGGGTACATCTTAGTCAACTGGAAAGAGCTTGGAACTAGATTGTAATTAAATAGCCATATATTGAAATGACATGACAGATAGTCAAAATCATTTTCACTTGTGCTATTTACGAAAAAAAATAGTGTTGTTCTTGAATATAAAATAACTTTTCCGCCAATATTAAACAATTGTACCATAACTGTACAAGTCAGAAAATTAAAATTACTTGATTCAGGTTATTACACTGTTTTGCTTGGTTTTAGGTTTTACTCTTTGAGAAATGTAAAACATTACTTGTGATACCAAATCATGCAGCTCAATAGTTGAGTCAAAATAAAGCCATAAAATTGGCGGTGACAGCAAATGATTGATTTCATTAGAAACTATTAGTTAATTTTCGCACTCAGCAAACACTAAATGTGTCCAACATTAAGCACTACTTAGTAGCAAAAAGTGCTAATTAAACAATACACCTTTTGCTGTTCATTTACGCACAATATACATTCATTTACGTCAGTAGTTGCAACTATCGTGCAACGTTAATCGAAGCTCCCCTAAACAGGCTTTTCACCCTCAATGTAGTAAGGTTGAGATCGGACCTCGGCATTTCANTTTTCAGCAGCCTTTCTTTTGGGGGAGCGTTGCGTGACATCCAAAAACAACGGCTGCGAGGGAGACTAATGCCTTCCAAACAGCATCTAAAATTGCGCGGTCCTTTTCAGGGACCCAACCAATTTATTGTTCTCCTGCCTCATTAAGACAAAACACTCCAATACCATACTAAGAACCATATGCTAAGGTATTTCTCCACTATTGATCGGATCAGCAGGACCTTCCAAGCAGTCAAGTTTTATTTTTAGCATGGTGGCCGTATTACAGGCTTAAAAGTATTCATTGTTACCTCACAACTATCCAGAAACTAACGAGTCACGACGAAATTTCTATTATCCTTTCTCCAGAATACCTTTCTATCGTTTTATCTTGATCTGGTATTGTAAGTTTTATGTGATTCAAAATTTATTATATCCTGATGATAATACACAGTGTCAACCCTTTTATCAACTTTTTCATCATGAAATACAAGACAGAAATTTCGTTCAAACAGATAGCTGTTTCAATAAGAAAATGGAAGAGTATACATTCTCATATTCCCTACATCAGTATTGTCTACATGTAGGAATTACCCATGCCAGCATAGGGGCTAGACAGGTGCGTGACTATTTTCACATGGAGTTTCTATGTATATAGAAGCATTGTCCACCTCACAATAACAATAACTTAACTCGTAGTCCATTGCAGGGTTACCTCCCCCCTGCCAACCAGTACCCATATTTACACCTGGAAAAGGTGAGGCACTTTGAGCTTACAGTATCTTGTCCGAGAACCTAATGCAATGCTCTAACACTAGACACCAAAACTGGACTAATGCCGAGTCCAGTGCACTAACCATTCAGCCACCATGCCTCTTCCTCTGATTAAAGTGGGGTGAATGGGGTCATTAAGGTGGAACCCTTATAACATTGCATAACCAATAGCGACTTAAGGCAACTTATGGCGACTTTAGGTGACTTAAGGCAACTTAAGGTCCCAGAGTAGGCCTTGTCTTGAAGTTCCTGAGGTCTCTCGTCTTTGAGCTAAAGGAAGAAAGCTTGTCACTTCCTTCCATCAGCCACTAAGTACTACTGATGCCTTGACGGTTAAGCAGAAATTGCTGCTTACTAGTGATGCAGTTAGACACAAACTCATCAATGATGTCCCAACTAGATGGAATAGCACCCTTGCTATGCTCAGCTGTTTGGTGGAGTAAACAACTGCTTTGTTGGCCGCGGCCAATGACTTAAAACACTCAGCAAAGCTGCAACAACTACAATTAAAAACTGTGTGTACAATTTTGATGAGCATCGCCTTGCAGAGAGGCTAATTGTGATTCTAGATCCTTTTCAGATCACTATCATTGTATCTGCAGAGCAGGTTGCTAGTATGCACAGTACAATGCTAAACGAGGACCCGTGTTATTCAGAAAGTGAAACAGATCATCCAGACAGAAATGGCCTCCAGAACCAAAAGACGAATAATTAGCCATGATGACGTGTGTTTCAAATCCTTTTACTTAAGGTTTAGAATTCCTGTCTCCTTCTGAAAAGGAACTGGCCCATAAGCTACTGTTGGAAAAGGTTCGAAATGTTAGTTTGGGGGAATATATTGTTAAGAAACAACATTGACTTTACAACATTGACTTTATTTTTTTTTTTTAAAATGAAAGAAATAAAGGCTTTTGTAGCCCGCAGTTAGCAAAGCTATTCTAGGCGGGCTACCTAAACAGACACTGTATAGGCTCACACACACACACACACACGCACGCACACACACACGCAACAATGAAATAAATAAATAAATGAGCAAATAAAAATAAATAATAAATAATAGTAGTAA